GGAAAGAAATATACAATTGTACCTCGAATAAATAAGTTGTTTCTGTATTAAAGCTCCAAGTGGCGTTAATTTACAATGAGATAATATCACATGATTTTTTTCTAACCAAGATTATTATTATTTCAGGTATTAATGCGGAATCTGTGTATCAAGATTAGGTTGATGTCTCTTTTTAATACTTATCTCACATCCTCAAGTATTTTTTTAACTTTTTAGCCCAAACGGGTAATTTGCCCAGGAGGGCTATTAATTTTATTGTGGCATTTTATTTCGACTATAAACGGCGTTTCACTTTTCAAATTGTGGCCACCAAATATTACAGCCCTGCACTGTATTTAAAGAAGTTAAATAATGAAGAATCTGCATGAATGTATGTATGGTTTTCGCACTATGATAAAACAGCGATACCTACAGATATCAAATTTTGTATAGCGTAGTTTTCCACTCCAATATGAGCACCTGGAAGACTAAATTTGGAATTTGGAATTCGTTTTATTAATCGATTTCATATTTTGTAACACTTTAACGAATTTTTGATTTACAAACTGAACGATTTCATAGCAAGCAATGACAAGATCGTACGAAAAAAACAAAACATTTTTATCTCCAGCGCGCGAGACTGTGCATCAGAAATTCTAAAGATATGCTGTTTTAAATTATTTTGCGATATTGGCGTTGAATTGAATTTTATGGTTTAAGTGCGAAGAACGTGATATTTAATAAACAAAGGTAACACACAAAGGTTAACAAAACACCCCTTTGGGCATAATATAAAATCTGAAAGCTTTCAGATTTTTTTTAAACTTAAATGGTAAACTTTTAGAAGTGCTGCATTGTAATCTGAAAATTTTAGACCTCATTTCTTTCAATATTTTGTTATAATCAATGGAAAATATTTTTAACTTGTTGTAAGTTAATATTTGACAATAGGAAAGCAACGTTTGTGAACAAATGGATAATTTAACACCACCTTCTACAAGCATTACGTATTACTTGGAAAAGCTGTTAAACTATTTGTCCGTCACACAGCTAGCAAACAAACATCGATGTTGGAATGCACTGCAAAGACTTATTTTTTAATAATTTCTACAAAGAATGAGTATATAATGCTTGTCAAGTGTACAATCATCAGTAGGGTACATGGTATCAAAATAAGGCTAAAAATTATTAAATATTTAAAAGATTTTTTCGTAAACGAATGGGCAGCTAGAAGGAAATAAATTTGTTTCTTCTGAATCGAAGCTCCAGTCTAGGTATTTGTCTTTGATTTTATGCCTGTTAGAAAAATAACGAAAAAAATCAATTTCTTCAAACCATAAATCAAAATGTGAGAGTAAATTCTATTAGGAACTTTGCCGTTCTTTTTTTTATTAAATATGAGTGGGGGCAAATTTAATTTGGTAGCAAGCGTTTAGTATCAAATTGATTTATCTGGGAATTATGCTATGAAATATTTTTATACTTCACGCCGATAGAATGCATGCATAGAAGAAAATATTTTCTTTCTTTATTTCACGTTTCACGTTGTTCTGTTGAAATATGCTTAACATTTGCAGCCATGAAAAGATCATACAAAAGTATGCTCTGCCGAAAAATATTAAAACAAAACATCAAAGTTTATAACCAAACATTAAAATGGAGGATCGAACATTTATTTTCATTGGATTTCAGCCAGGAAAACATATTTCAACTTTTATACTTGCAGATAATTTACTTTACGGAAAATAATTTCAGGGGTGGGGTTGGGGGGGGGACTGGAAGATTACTTGAACTTAAATTTTTGCTGTACGTTCAAGAAAACTAATATATTGCTACATAGACTAAAGTAAAATGGGATGCATAGTATCTGTCATTTCAAATAACTTGCTGATTTTAATTAAATAAGAAAGATTGACTTGTTAAATTCTTTACTAAAATCAATCAAACGGTCGAGCGGTAAAGTCGCTGAATAAAGGTAGTTCGGTCCGGGGATCAAACCTCGGCGAATGGACGAGGTTGCAGGGGCGTTTTCGTGATTTTACCCTTGTGTAACGTGTACCAGCCAGTTTCTTTTAGAAAGTCTTCCACGAAGGTATCCCTCCTCTTAGGCAGATTACCATCGAGTGTTTGCCATAGTTAAATAAACCAACCCAAAACAACTTGAAACAGTTAAATTTTTTGTGATATTTCACGAAAGCTACACTACCTACCTGAGTACTTATAACCGAAATATTCCATAAGTTAGCTCCGTGTTTTACGTAGGACAGTTGAACATGCTATTCACCTGAGGTTTTCATGTTTTTTCCTGTCGTATAATACACTTATACGTCTATTCCATCTATACAGTCTTTGGCGAAATAATCCGTCACTTTAGGCGGATTTGCTTTATGTGCTTTAATATACCTAAATGGAGTTAAATTAGGTTCTTCCAAGTCGAGGCTTGTTTTTACGGTATAATTACGAAATTTCATAATCTCTGGAGTTTAATGTGTGAAACTCGCGTCTTAAAGTGACGGTTGTGTCTCTTCGTTTTAAACGAGTGGTTGAAAATCAAAGTTGGTAAATTCTCTCAGTAGGTGTGCAATTTTATATGCACTGGAGACTGGACAGAAGGTGCGTGACTCATCAAAACAGCCCACAGCAAAATAGTTCAAGACAAAACAGCCCATGGTAAAATACTCTAAATATGACTATAAATGTTTTATTTTTAGTTCAGTTTTAAAAATATTTTATACGCATATTGGATTTTTATGCCATTCGACATAAATTCAAATCCAGATTTAGTATCTGAAAACAAATAAAAATATTTTCTGTACATTGTATACATTGTAAAGTAATGTTTGATTTTCTAATCCGTTATTTTAAGTTAAAGTACCTTTCCTATCAAACCTCATTTCATTTCCCTGACAAAATGCAAATTTTCGGCACACGCGGTACTCAAATTAGTTACAAAAAGAAAGTCCTTAAAGGAAAGAGTTGAAGGGTGAAATCAGGGCATGTTCTGCCTGCTTGAAGGTCACGTTGCTAATGTTGATTCTCCAGAGATTAGAATTCTACGGTGTTGAGTTATTCTTACCATTAGGTTTGTTTACGCTGACTTCGGCCAAAGCCAGCTCTCACGTTAGTTATACTGTGAAGTCGTTAGGCTTCATCAATTTTTCATGTTATTCATTACCTTTTGATTTAAACCAAAAGTGCTGACCTTTGTAAGCACGAGTTGGTGCCGACTGTTAATTTTATTTGAGTTAATAAAGGGTTATATACACCTTTTCTGCTGACTTCGTAATACTGACCAAATATTAAAGGCCTGCGTTATATTTAAAGAAATTAAATAATCGAGAATCTGAGTGAATGTATGTATGTTTCTCGCATTGAGAAAATATAAGGATACCTGCAGACATTCCTCCACTCGAATATGGGCACCTGGAAGCCCAAATTTGGAATTTGGGATAACTGAACTATTTCAAAGCGTTCCATTAACATTGACATAGCGTGCATCATCAAGCACGGATATTTTATGCGCGAGGTTTCTTATACCCTTTTTAAATCCCGTTTTGAATCCCTCGTGAAAGAAACGCGCCTTTGGACGTAATATAAAATCTGAAAGCTTTCAAATTTTATTTTATTTATTTTTATTTTTATTTTGTTTTGTTTGCTTTGTTTAAACTTTGAAATAAAGTTTATTTTTTTTTTAATTGGTAATATAAAGTTTGCATTTTGCATTATATAAAATAAACGTTTTTTACGATAACACATATGTTACCGTGAAAGACGTGATTGGAGAATGTCGACCGGAGAAGGTCAATATTCACCAAATATGTAGATGAAAGATCGAATATTGCATTACATTTTTGTACATTCGGACCCTCACCTTTGTATGTCGACAATCACAGATATGGTCTGGTTTAGGTCGAAAAGAGAAGAGTCGGCAAAGAGGCGACGTTTAAGTTGTTGCAATAAATAAGATTTGAATCACATAATTTAGAATGCTTTTTATTACAGTACTAAGTCTGTAATCCAGACGTCCATAATCCGGAATAATCTATAATCCGGAACTCAAAGCTACAAACTTTATGCGCATGCGCGTTTCATGTATAACGGACGGTATGAACTAGGTAAAAATTATTTAAGGCATTTCAGTTAATGTTGCAGATTGCGCTGTTCCTTAATCTTCTAATTGGATCCGGCTTATTATTTTTTGCAGACTGTTAGAACAATTTTATAAAAATTAAGCTTGAACTTTCGATTATGTCAAAAAGAGTTTCCCATTCTGGAGCTGCCAAAGGATCTACAAAGCGAAAGCATGTTTCGATGTCCATTAAACAAAAAGTGGAATTATTGCAAAAAATGGATAAAGGCATAGCCGTCTCAAAATTATGCGAGAAGTATGGCATTGGAAAGTCCACTATATATGACACAAGAAAAAGGAAGTTTTTGAATTTTTTGTGGATGCATCTTAAACAACTTACATTGAAAGAAATGTTTAATAAAGTAAACAAATAAATATTAAGCTTTTTTTGTAAATTTTGATACCCTTTAGATCATAATTGTTCTTTATTTCATAAATTACGATTTCATATTTTAAATTTTATCGTTTCTGCATGCCATCTTACCAGATTTAAATTGATGATCCGGAAAAACCCCTAATCCGGAATCGCCGAAGTCCCGAGGAGTCCGGATTACGGACATTGTACTGTACTATTATTTTATCTTCTCATTTAGAACATACATATTTATCTCATTTAGAACATTTGTATAATTAAGTAAGTTTTTAACTTCTATTATTTTTCTTTCTCATTTCGAATGTACTGTGCGTTTTAAGTTCTTAAGTTCTTATTTTTAAGTCTCAAGTGCGTTTTTTCGCGACTGAATTACGGAGAAGAAAATATAATATTCTTGTATGTTCCAACATTCACCATTAGTGCATGGTGAATGTCAACATTGACCGGTGTAAGTTAGAAATAATATTTGGAAAACATTTCGGACATACACCAAACGACTATGTGAATGTTGACATTCACCAAAGTGAAAGTCGACATTCTCTAGATTTCGGTGTTTCACCATAATATATGTTTATATGTGTTTGTGTGTGTAAAATATTTAACCTAATATTGTATTTATACAAAATTCATAGCTGTAATAAGTATAAACAATTTTAGAACAGCATAGTTTCATTTTTAAATTCCCCTATAAAGCGAAGTTTGATTTTATGGGCAATTTTTCGAATTTCAAGTATGTTTCGTGCATTTTCCGATTTTTAAGGTCTAGTAGAAGTAGAATCCTATTCAATTATCAGAGTGTCAGTGCTAATACTAATTAAACAACGAAAAATGACATGGAATATATAAATTTAGAGTATTCGATGCGAAGAATTGAATAAATTTAAATGTTAATTTGTGCATTGAACATACAAACACGTATTTTGTGAATAAAATAAGATGTTTAAGAATGAATAAAATCGAAGCGAAGGAGTTATTTCAGAGAAAAGTTTTATGCAAAACTAAAGAATTTATTCAATTTTATGCCACAACAACTTATTCAGGCAATGTGAATTTTTAGTAACCTGTCATTTCACGGCACAAACATGGGGAGAAATATTTTCATTTTTAGTCCCCTGAAGGATATAAAAACATGTTTTCGTTTTGCATCAATTCAAAAGAAGTATTTTTTCGCTCTACAGTTTAATAATTTTTTTCGGGGGAGGGAAAGAAGTGTTAAATAAACAATTTTTTATTATTATTATTCTCGTTTCGAATTTCAGTTTAAAGTAAAATAATTTTTACTACATGGTCGTTATATAGAATTATCATAAAAGTTATCTTGCAAATGATAATTTTCTTTCAAAATACCAGAATATTTCACTTTTCCTAAATTTTGTTTTTATTTTAGAAATTCATTTTTATAATGTATGCCAAATACACACTTTTATGTATTATATTTTCGTTTGTAGCGCCCTTGATAGAAAATAATTTTAGAAATTATATTAGTTGCAGAAATTCTACTTTAAGGTTATAAAATGTTCAAAATATGTTTTTTATATTTCTAATAATAACTTATAAGTTATGAAAACAGCATGTAGTGTTAAATGAAACATAAACAAATATTTTATGATTTACTAAATCGTAAATAATTTTTTTATATTCCATTGTAATGTAGTATTTTAATTACTCGAGAGCTCTTTGAAATTTTTAAAAAATTTATATATTTAAAAACAAAATTGCACGAAATACTAGGAAGAAAACGTTTTAGATTAGAAATTTTTCAAATCGCCAAATTTACCCTCACTGAAACATGACACAGAATTATACTAAATATTTTCATATATAATTCGTTTAAATATCCTGTTACATTTAATTTTATTTAACAAACAGTGTACTCTAGATTATTTGGGAGTGGATTATCCGGTTTGCGGATATTCTGTGCGTGGAAGTGCCCACCCACGCACACTTAACGCTAGCTCGAGCGAGAGTTTGTAAAAAATAAATATACAAAAGTTCGAACATGCACTAAAATCTCCGCTGAATTGCGTCTTCAGGTTTATTTTCAACGATTACCTCGATTACTCGGTGTAATCGAGGTAATCGTGGTAAGGTAACGGAACCAAGGAACCGTGGTAAGGGTACCATGGGAAGAAGGTACAGAAAATTACATTAATCATGAGAAAGCAATGACTTTTGATGAAACTCTATTGGACTTCGTCAACAAAAGAGGATTCAAATGCAATGATAAAAAAACGCTTCGAAAAATATTCACTGAAATTCGACAAATATTTAAACGCTCTCAAAATCAAAATAAAATCTCTAATTTATTTCAAGAAATAAACACAAATAATGTGCACTGACAATGTGGATTTATTTTTCAATTATCCGTAATCTACTTCCCCGACATTAGCCCGGATAATCGAGACTAAACTGTATTTTATTTGAATGTTTTAATGGGAGGTTTGTATTTATATTCCATGGCTGTCCATATGCGAACATATTACTTCCCTTTGTTAAATGCTTTCAATACAAATAAAACGGACTTCTACAGAACTAAATTGAGCTTAAATTGAAATAAATGAAAACCCAAAGTGACCAGAGTAATACTAGAAAATAGTATAAAAAAATACTGCTAATTTTATTAATAAGTTGTCAAAATTGCATCACGAAATACCATCTCCACTTTTTAAAGAAATTGTGACAATACTGTCTTTTATATTTTTAATAATTTCTTTGTTCCAAGGATTCAATTACTGCTGTTGTGTTGTGAATTCTTTTGAGGTCTCCTGTGCAAACTATACGTATGTATTTAAAATTGAAATGCATGAGATAAAATAAATGGATTAAAAAGGTAGCTATATAATGAAAACATAACTAATTAAGATAATAAGTAAAGATGTGAAAACTTCTAAAGTACTTTCAAATCCGAAATTTAAAAGATGTCTCCAGTCTTTCAAATCCTTAATAAAAGAATAATAGTCATAAAATGAAGTATATAATTAAAAATCTGAAATCCTGAGTTTCTAATTTAACGTTATTAAGCAAAAATATTTGAATAATTGTTTGGCTTTTAACATTTTTCCAGAATGTTTTTTTAATTCAAAGGAACCGTAAGAAGGCGGGTATTAATTTAAGAGTCAGCATAAATATTCGAAGTGCAATACGAAACATTCTCTAGAAAATTAATAAAAATCCTTTTTTTAAATTTCTTAATCAAATTCTTAATTAATTATTTCTTACATCCGGAAAAAGTTTTCTTTTATTTAATGAAAGCTTCTATTGGAGGTTTATGTAACTAAACTTATTTAAACGTTAAGATTAGTTTAATAACTAATCTTAACGTTTTCAGAGAAAAACATTAAAGGTTTGTTAAATTAGAATTCAAAATATTTTAAAGATAGAAGCTCGACAATTCGTTTCGAATCTCAATTCTTTTTTCATGATTCGTTCGATTCTGAGATTCGCTAGTAGAAATTTGCAAAAAAAAACATTAAGTGTTCACTGTTTATGTAGAACATTCGAAGCTTAGAGTCTCACATGCATTCTTCAACATTCAGTGTGATCTTTTACAAAGCAAATCACACAGTTTTGGATGAAATTAAAACTTCTCTTGTTCTATTTAGAAGTCAAGCTAGGGTTCCTCTCATTGGCTATCCCTTTTAAATCTCTTCAACCTTCCAAGCAGCATATATACGTTCTAAAAAACATATTTTAACACCGTTAAGTACGTATATATAGTGCATCTTGAAATACGTCCAAAAAATTAAGGCAGTGTACTAAAAGTAAAATAATCTAGGTATACAAGCATTTTAGTTTTATAATCAAGAAAATATTTCTTTCTCATGGCAACTATGGAAAATTAAGGGTTCCGGACCCAAAACCCTTAAGCAGTTAAAAGGTTAAGTTAGCAAATCTTTGGTTAAGAAATGTTATTTTTCTGTGTCTTCAACCTCGGAAAGGTAGGATGAAAAATTTCTATTTTAAAGTTAACTTCTTATAGGATAGGTAATAAATGTATTTTTGGAAAGTAATAAAATGTGTCAGCATAAAATAAAAGAATGTCCATATAAAACCTCTGAAATAGTGAAGGAACAGAGATATTTTCCATTTGTTCCACTGAGGGATCCTGCAATATGGCCAAGTTTTTCTCTCCTTTTCCACCATCAGTCCCGAATTTAAGCTGCATTTTTCCGCATCAGTGAGTCTTTTTGTAACCATTCCATCTGCTTCTTAGCTTCTTTATTAATCGCTTTCCGTTAAAGACCAAAAAGGCGACCGATTCTTAATTTTCTCTTGCTTTTCCTCTTTTGGGCATTTTCTGGGAAGAGTTTAGCGTAAGAGCCGTGTTTATCTTTGATAATGAAGAATTTATCGATGATTTTGCCATTCTGAAAAAAAAAACGGAAATATACAGTCAATAATTAGAAAAATATAAATGTACTTCCACAAAGAAATTTATTACATCACTCTAAAGCATTTTCTGAAAATATGATCAGCTCATCGTACCCGTAAATTTCAAAAAGTTAATTTGGAATTTCCATTGCTTAATACAGGGTGTAAGGTAATTGTTTAAATTTAGCAGTTATCATATGGTGAGTATGTTTACTGTCATTTCTCCCTTTCCGTTTTCCTTCCGGAATGCAAATTTTAGCTCTCACGTATTTAAATGTGGAAGAAAGCGATAGTATTTAAAAGGAGGTTTTAGATTGCTTAGTCAAAGCGTGTTCCAGCCGCTGAAGGCCACGTTACTAGTTGATATTCTGTAAGGTTTATCCTAAATTTGAACAGTTATCTTTAATTAAAGCTACTTTCCTATCTCTCCTAATTCCAGCTTACAATTTCCTGCCATAGTGGGTTTTTAAAATCGCAGTTAATGCAAATGAGTAAGAGCGGTATTTAAGTCGAAATTCCACTGACTTCGTTAGAGAGCCAGAGATTCTGACTAGCGCGCTTTTCCCATTTGGCTACGCCCTCTATAAGCTATTACTATGCTCGGCCGTATTTTAGGCCCTTAATAGCTTCGCCAGTTAGTTAACATTTTAGATTCCTCGTTAAGAAAGAATCATTTCAGAGTTTAATTTCCGTTATTGCTTAGGAAATCGAAATAGAAAAATGGAAGGACAGTCCGTTTGAATCTTTGAAGTCTATTCTAAACTAAAGTCTCGGGAACAAAAATCCAGATATTATAATAATAGTACGAATTTTCCTAATTTATGGTCCATAATCCATTTGAAATGGTATGGCTGCCGTTTTATTGACGACTACATATTCTAAACTAACTGTTAAGGAATTAAAAAAATAAATAAATATTTTTTTTTATAAAATCTAATAGGCTTCAGATTTTAATGGCGGCCCATAAAGGTTTGTTAAGGACTTTCATCCGCTTGCAGAGCTATCAGTCTGCTATTGTACTTACTCCTTACGGTAATATTTGGTGGCAACAATTTGAAAATGATTCGCTGTTTATAGTGAATCGATGCAAAATCCGATTTGCAGACTAATAGCCATTTTTAGGCTAAACGTCGTTCGTGTTTACGTATTTAGTTTGCCTAACTTTGTGAGCATCCAAAGGATTTACACTGAAATAATAAATTAACAGGTTAAAATTCCATAATCGGGGCGAGCGCCAAGCTTGGCGAGAGTTTTTATTTGGCACGATTTTAATTTGGGTGTGGTTTCCGGCTGTATATTTTCTTGTGGCAAACCTAGAGCTTTATTTCGGTAACTGTAAGAGCGCGAATTTAGTGTAGCCAGATTTTTTTCTTTTTTAAATTTAATTTTGCAATACTGTGCTTGTTTTACTGTTTAATATTATTGTTATATATATGTTTAATATTATATTTATATAAATATTTATATTTGCAGAAGATTAAGCTGTTGTTGGTGGGAGACTGTTGGATTTCAAATGACATGAAGTTTATAATTTATCAATGTTTTCATTTAATTTTATTTAGTTAATTTTTTTTTTTTTTAGTTTTGTTTCTTGCATGTGGCAATCGAAAGATGCGGAATGTTTAAAGCTTTGAACGAAAGTTGTTTAGTAATTTGAATTCCACGACGATAGTAACTTGAATATTTTAGTTAGTTTATGATGCTGAATACGCATAATTTGCTATTCTGTTTACGTTTAAAACTGACTTCGCAGTGCTCTGATCTGATATGTGTATACATTTATTTACTCAATAATTATTTACAAGAATTGTTCATTCTACTATTTTATGATGAATTACATACATATATAGGGCTATGCTTTTACTTGCAAAGCTGTTGGACTTTGTTTTACTCATCTGGTATTTTATCATCTCATTTTACTGTTTTACTCATCTCGTATTTTATCATCTCATTTTACTGTTTTACTCATCTAGTATTTTATCATCTCATTTTACTTTTCTATTTACATAAAATAACGGCGTTTCACTACTGGAAAACTTAAAAGTTACTATTCTGTTTACGTTTAAAAATCACATTTTAGTGCTTTCATTTAGTGCGCCTAAAAAATTCGCCAAATTTTGAAGGCCAAAATAGTTTGGCGCCAACTTCCCCCGCTTATGGAATTTTAGCCAATTAACAAAAGCACACTAAATTTAGACTTAAAAACTAGTTGCATTTAAGACACAGTAACCGAATTTTTATTCTGGTTCTTCTAAACTTTGCTATTTTTACATAGTTGTCATCTCAACACATTAGTCTTCAGCTTTCTTATGAAATTCTTTGCAGAGCTGCACGATGCAGAAAAATATATCTGTGGGATTTTTAAGAATGGTGACAAGAAAACATTGAAATGCGTGCTCTTACTCCCACGCAAAAATATCCTGTTTACTTCGTTATTTCTTTCCTTAACAAAAGTAAAGTACATAAAAGGAAGTGAAGCACTTTTAGAAGCGTATTCAAACGTCAGCTATTTCTATAATATATAAACTATAGCTATGTGTCGCCGACAAAAATATATACTAAACAACTGGCACAGAATAAATTTTATGCCACTCACCTTTTCTGCGGATACTTGTTCGAGATAAAGATGTGTTTTATTGTGCGGTATCATACGCGTGTAACCTTTTTCTATACTTGCAAAAGCACTCCATGGTTGGCGGGAATTCCTGATGTTGGTGGAGCCTTCTTGATTGCCCTAAAAAATCAAAATGGGTCTGATATCAGCAATGTAAAGACTTTACTGTATAATCTCATTTCATAGAGTTATTATATTTTACCAGAAATCACTTGTGTAACGTAATGATGACTGAAACATATTGAAAGAAAAATCGCTTTTTGCATTTCTAACAATTACGTAAAAAGCAATTAGGAAAGTATGGTATTGTTGAGTGGGTACGAATTCATAATAGATTGAATACACAAGTCCGGTAATAGATTAATAAAATTTATTTTTATCAAAAGAAATATTTCAAGACTCTTTCAAGACTCAAGGAATTTCCCCAAAAATATTCGTACAAGTGTTCGAGTATTACACGGTATAATCAGTGTTTACACTTCAAACTATTTAAAACGCTAAACACGACGCAAAGCGCATCTAAAGAGAACGCTAACTCGGATTTATCTCAGTTCACGCGAAACTACAACTCGCAACAACAATAACTAAGCAACCGACAGCCCCAGATGTTCATTTTTCGGTCTTTTATAGTTTTCAACCGGCCTCCGAGATATTTCTAGTACTTTCTGCTTCTCGAATTTACTGGAAAACAATACGAAGGTGGAATTACGGTTACAGCTAACATAGTGGTCAATTACATTTATTCATTTACACTACTTATTACGGTGATACAGCAACCGAAACAAATGGTCCCCAAGCTTCACGACTTTTGGTGATTTCTTGCCAAAATTGGCGACAAAATAGGTCGCTAAAACTGTTGTCAGCTTTGCGATATCTTTCGAAATTGCCAAGATACCCATTTACTCAATGTTAAATGCACTTGCCCTGTATTCTTACTTTTCCGGCATAGTCTTCTCTTAAAATTTATCTTGCACTACATTACACAAAAAAATACAACAATTATACCTATAATTCTACTAAAATTAGCTATACAAGTACAAAATTCGTAACAGTATCATAAACGAGAATACGTTTATCCATTTAATTTAAATTAACAGTAGATTTATTTCCATTGAATTGAATTGTAAACATAAATTAATAGCGAAATCAATGTTTTGTATGAAGCTGATTTTGCTTTAATCACAGTATTCAGTTCCTTTTTCTCTAATCAGAATGATTTCAAAAAAACTTTCTTTTCGAATTTTTATCAATATTTGGTATCCGTTGTCCTAAAGAATGCCTCTTCAAATTCATTGTAAATTTATTCTCAAACTTTTGCAAAAATTAATCAGAATGATTGGGGGTACACGTTTCAGGTAAACAACCTTTTATTTATAAATGTTGTATGCTATTATTACCACTTATCGTTTTTTACATAAATTTTAAAAAGTCTAGAAGATTATTTAATATTACAATCTCATTCTAGTACGTTCTTCGATCAGAGAAATCAAAACCCGATTGGTACACTTATGCGGTTCATTCAAAATGTTAATAATTAACTATGGCGCTATAGAGTTTGGTGTTCTTAGGAAGCAAGTATAAACTACATCCACACTCTAAAAGACTGGTGGCGAATTATGGCTATGTCTTATAAGTACCACAGAGACAAAGAAAGTGTGTAAAGGACCCTATTATTAACTCAGATAGAGTTTATCAGAGGACACCAGCTCTTGCTTACAGAATTCTTGTTCACAGAAACCAAACGTTTTGTCTTAAATCAAAGATAATGGATGAACTAAATTAGTGAAACTAAGTTTTATAAGGTATTGCTCACGGCTTCTTAGAATGCCTTCGTGGTGTAATGGCCAGCACATTCAGTGGATATTCAAGAGGTCCGAGGTTCGAGTCTCGGCGACAGCACTGCTCATTTTTCACATCTTCTTATAAAAAGAATGTGTCGACACGTTTTCGTTTTCTCTTTGCCTGTATTGTCTTATGTTTTATTTATTTTCAGATACATTGTGTAAAAATATTGGGTAATTCTAAAATTATTATAATATAATAAATTAAAAAAATATCAAAACTGCTAAAATTTTTGGCTACCTCTTGCTGTAGGTTCGGCGACCCCCGTGGTGGTCGCGACCTACAATTTAAGAAATTCTGGTTTAGCCTAAAGGCTCCACAATTAGAATAACCCTCAAGCTGTTTCTAACCTATGCGTAACAAGCCTAATGGAATGAAAAACTCAACGCCGCAGAGAATAAAGTTTAGCAACGTGGCCTTCAAACGGGCAGAACACGCTCTTATTCTACCTTCTAAAACTTTTCTTTAAACACTCTCTTCTTTCTACCTCATTTGAATATCGCACGAGCTAGTCTGACAGGAAAATGGAAATGAGATTGAGAGGAAAGAATATTAATATAAAATAACTGGTTTGAAACTTAAACGAGACTTTGTAAGAGAAAGGGTGAAAAGTGGAAAATTTTTACATATAATCATTTTTTGACGTAGCCTCAAGACATGTTAAGGATGCATTCCAGCCCATCGGAAGGGCATGATATACGAAAGAAGGTTGTGGCTGTTGCCACTCGCCTACAGAGGTTTTGATCTCTTCGAAAAGGCCTCGCCTATCACTGCCTCTTGGAAGCACTTGAACTCATAAAACTCAGTGTAGGCGAGATTTGGTGAATAAAGTCAGTGTAATACATTTGACCCTATTTATCGGAGTTTCAGATATCATATCCTGAATTGTTGGAAACGTTGAACGAAATAGGTGCTCGGGAAATATCATGCAATAATAATGCTGTTTATTCCTCGTTACAGGACCGAGGTGATTTTGGACAGATTTGCAAATACGTACTGGTCACTGTTATATTCTTTTCCATTTATCGTTCCAAAATTATGCTATTAGTATCCGTCATGGTATCATCGCATTCCCCATCTTTTTGTTTCAGGTTGGTCATAGGGCTGCCACGTTTCATCTCATGTAACTATTCTTTTAAGAACCGTAGGTCCCATACAGGTATGGACGCGACGATTCTCAATTTTCCAGTTAACTAACGTGGCAGCAATCGCGCCAATACTTGGCTATATCACAATAAGCCATGGACAATATGTCCTGAACCAACGCTAACATCCGAAACGCTGACTCACTATTTTGTACTAATTCGCCTCTATCTCCATACATCACTTCCTAGCCCGGTCACTACTACTTCCCCCTTTTCGTATTGTTGCGTGCGTACTGGCTCGTAATAGTTTGAATGCACATAGGTCCGGTGATAGTTTAAATTTATTTTTTATCAAATGAAACACTTCAAAGTTCTGGAATTTTCCACAGAAATACCCGTACATGTGTTCACTGTATTTATCATTGTGCTACATTTCAAACTACTAAAAGCGTTAAACATAACACAATGTAAAGCACACCTAAAGAGAAAGTTAATCCGGAGATATCTAAGTTCCCGATGGACTAACAACTAGTAAGAACAATAACTGAGAACAGATGCTCTCTCCGGCCTTATAAATTTGTCAACATAGGTTGGAATTATCCTGCCCCAAGGCTAAAGTCCACCCTATTACCGGATTCTATAGTTTTCAAGAGCCACCGAGATATTTCTAGCACTTTCTGCTTGTCGAAATTACCGAAAAGCGCTATCCCACTCCTACACCGTGCGGGAGCTTTTGCCTCATGAGCCGGTTCGCTCCTCCTTAAACGATCTGGTGGACCCATGATCCACTAGGAATTTCCAACACAAGAGAAAGAGAGGACAGAGATCCCATCCTCCCGCCGTCCGATCAGCCCAGACCTCCAAAGCAGCTGGACTACAGCACCACGCTACGGTACCGGTCATTATTGGAAAGCAATATGAGGGTCAAATTACACTTGCAACTAATATAGTGACTTACTACATTTATTCAATTTTACCGTCTACCCTCGCTTTCGAAGTATTAAATATTTTTTACCCTGAGCCAGAGTGGTTTCGGATCTTCACTGATGGATCCCTCCTGTCTGATGGCCCTAATGCATCTGAAATATCCTGAGTTTTCTCCCAAATGTTCTCTTTCTACATCCCTGTGGGCCGAGGTTCCGCGTTTGACGGAGAAATTGCTGCTATTTGCATAGCTCCTGTACCAGCTACCATGCCACTTCACAAGAAAACTTCACAAGCACTGTTATACTCAGTGATTCCCGAGCTGCTCTGTTGGCTATCGTTTCAGATGAAAACCCATATCACAGGACATATTGGTTTGTCGACATTATCTACAAAACCTGGCTTCACTTGAGGAAACTATAGTCCTCCAGTGGGTTCCAGCCCACTGTGGGGATTCCAGGTAACGAAAAAGCCGACTTCTTGGCAAAAAAGGGTGCTTTAATTATGCAGAATATTTCTCGTCCTTTTCCTTTCCATACTGTTAGGGATCTTATTAAAAGATCTATCAAAGTACCTGCTCGGGAAGATCTCTATCATCGTGTTTCTCATAAATCTTGGAAGAATGCTATCCCGAATTTGTGTAATGGCCCAAGGCGTAGAGCGGTCGCTGAATTCCGCCTTGCCATCGGACATGACTGCCTACAATACCATCTTCATAGATTCAAAATTGTTCCTTTTCCGATATGCACTGTGTGCAGCTCTGCAGAGATGATGGATGCCGCACATCTACCCCACTGTCCTGCTTTGCGCAAACCTTTTCTCGCCGAGCGTAACTGGGAGGCAAGAGATATGTTAGATTAATGGACTCTGTTATAGACTGTTCATAATCTGCCATTGGAAATAATAAAAAAAAATTACATTTATTCAATTACAATAGGTGATACAAGAACGGGACACAAATGTCCCCAAATGAGTGCCGACTTTTGGTTATTTCTTGCCATATTTGGCATCAAAATAAGACGCCAAAACACTCGTCAGCTTGGCGAGAAATCGCCAAATGACCAAGCTGACAACTGTTTTGGACCGAGATACCCATTTACTCAATGTTAAATGGACCTGTTCCTGTATTCTTACTTTTCTGCACAGCTTGTCTCTAAATGTTTTTTCGCATTACGTTACACACAACTATTTCACATATAACTGAACAGAAATCATCTATCTATGTACAAATTTCGTAACAGTATTAGCGGCATACATTCTCTTTTCTCC